ACTCTTTTGGCCCTAAAACTTCTTTCAGATATAGGAAATGTCATCATTGTGGTGAGACTACTCATATTACCAGTAAGTGTTCTTCAACTACCATATATGGTTCACCAGCTTAGGTAAAGAAAGTAACTAAGGTTGAAAAGTCAACCAAATTGAAATCATCCACAAAATTTGTTAAAACAAATAATGTGAAGAATACCACCGACATCTCTTCTTCAAGTTCAGTGAAGCCTCTCGCTGACTCTGAGCTTTTAGTACCAGTGAAAAAAGATGTCCCTCTAAATTTGCTGGACCCATTGAGAAATGGGTATCAAAGCAAACTTAATATCTTTTTTATTGTAGGAAGTCAAAGGTGTCTGGTATTTAGATAGTGGATGCTCAAGATATATGACTGGAGATAAAACCCTGCTCTCAGAATATAAAGATGAAATAGGCCTTCCTTGATCTTTGAAGGAAACATGATAGGATATACCAAAGGCTTTGGTATATTAACCAATGGTGTAACCACCTTTAGACGTATTGCATATGTTGAAGGACTGAAACACAATCCTCTCAATATCAATCAACTGTGTGATAAAGATTTCACAGTTAAATTTCTGAAGAATACATGTTATGTCTTTGACAAAGATGACAATCTCGCTTTAACAAGCTCTCGTCAAGAGAATGTATATGTCATCATCATGGATTCTCCATTTACTGAGAATATTTGTTTTCTCTCAAAAGCCTTATCAGATATCAACTCGTTGTGGCACAAACGGTTTTCTCATCTCAACTTCAAGACACTAAACGAGTTGTCTAGAAAATAACTCATCACTGGCTTTCCTCAGCACTCTTTTGCAAATGAATCTTTTTGCTCAGTGTGTGAAAAAGAAATGCAGACAACGACTAGTTTTAAATCAAAACAAGTCTCTTTAGTGACTTCTCTAATTCAGCTACTACATGTGGATTTATTTGGCCATGTCAATGGATAATCCATAGCTGGAAATAAATACACACTCGTTATTGTTGACGAGGTTTATAGGTATACTTGTGTTTTCTTTCTCAGATCCAAGAGTGATGCACCTGAACAAATCATCTCGTTCACAAAGCGCATAGAAGTACTGAACAACATCAAGGTGTGCTGTATAAGGAGTGATCATGGCACTGAATTCAAAAATAGTACCATTGATAACTTTATTGAGAACAAGGGAATCGCACACAATCTCTCTGTTGTGAGAACTCCACAATAAAACGTGGTCGTTGAAAGAAGAAATGAAATGATAATCAAATCCATTCGATCTATGCTCAGTGAGTCTCGTCTCCTTACTCAATTCTGGGCAGAATCTGTCAATACTGCATGTTTTACTCAAAATCGGTCGCTGATCCTTACAAGATTCAAGAAGACGACTTATGAACTTTTCCATAGCAGAAAGCCTTCTCTCAGCTTTCTACACATCTTTGGTTGTACTTGCTACATCTTAAACAACAGAGAATATCTTGGAAAGTTTGATCCCAAAGCTGATGAAGGAATCTTCCTTGGATATTCTTAGTATCCAAAGCCTTCAGAGTATTCAACAAAAGATGACAAACAATAAAAGAAACTATTCATGCCATGTTTGATGAATCTCAATCAGCTAACTCTAAACCCATATTTGATGATGATGAAGAGTTAGTCAACTGAATGATATCTCATTATGAAGAACCTGAAGCTTCGTTCAACAATCAACCCAACGCTGATCTCCCTGAAGCTGACGATGATCCAACTGGACGCTGATCCATTTATCATTCCTTCAATCACTGAACCTCTCTCAGTAAATGAATCTCTCACTGAGGCTCATTTAGCAATTCAGGTCGTTGTTGAAGTATCTCTTACTGAAGCGTCATCTTCTACATTTGAGCCTCCAAAGTCAGAAGATGACAATTTATGTCATCTACCAACTCATCGATAGATGAAAAGTCATCCCATCTGTCAAATTCTTGGTGATCCAAGCATAGGTATTCAGACTCGTTGAGGTCTAGGTAATATATGCCTTTTTGTTAACTTTCTTTCTTTGGTTGAGCCCAAGAAAATCAATGAGGATATTACTGAACCAAGTTGGGTCAATGTTTTGCAAAAAGAACTCATTGAGTTCAATATAATTAAAGTTCGGTACTTTGTCCCGCGTCCGTCTAGCAAAACTGTGATAGACACCAAATGGGTTTATCGCAACAAGTTGGATGAACAAGGAATTGTAACCCACAATTAGGCTCGACTTGTTGCTCAGGGATACAGGCGAGAAAAAGGCATCGATTATGATGAAACCATTTCACAAGTGGCTAGACTTAAAGCAATTCGACCTTCCTAGCCTATGCTTCTCACAAGGACTTTAAAGTCTATCAAATTGATGTAAAGAGCGATTTCCTAAATGGAAAACTTTATGAGGAAGTTTATGTTGAACAACCTTCATGGTTTCTTGACCCAAAGTATCCAACTAATATCTATCGATTGGATACAGCTCTTTATGGTTTAAAACAGTCCCCTCGCGCGTGGTATGACACCCTTTCTTCATTTCTCATCTGTGATAAATTTGTCCGTGGAAAGATTGACCAAACTATATTTCTTAGAAAAGTCAAGGGTCATATCATTCTAGTCCAAATTTATACCGATGATATTATATTTGGTTCCACTAATCCCTCTTTGTGTTTTCGCTTCTCTGAACGCATGAAGAAAAAATATCAGATGAGAATGATGGGAGAACTGACATATTTTCTAGGTCTTTATATTAAGAAATCTGATAAAGAAATATTTTATCAGTCAGAGTAAGTATGTCAGGGATATGCTGAAGAAATTCGACCTAACCAACAATTCATCTATGAAAACTCCGATGACTTCTCTTCTCACGCTGAATAAGGACCGAAATGGGAAACCTGTAAACGTTATCGCTTATAGAGGAATGATTGGTTTCTTGTTGTATCTTACAGCTAGCCGACTTGATATCATGTATGCTACCTGTCTCTGTGCAAGATATCAATTTGAATCCAAAGAACCCCATCTGATTGCCGTAAAACGCATATTCAGATATCTGAAAGGTACTCATAATTTGAGCCTTTAGTATCCCAAAGACTTAGGTTTCGACCTAATAGGTCATGCAAATAGTGATTTTGCAGGTTGCAAGATAGATAGGAAGAGCACCACAGGAGGCTGTCAACTTTTTGGTGGAAAGTTGGTGAGTTGGACATGCAAAAAACAAAAACTCAGTATCCACATCAACTGTAGCCGTTGGAAGCTGTTATGCCTTTCTCTTTGTGAAAGACCACTGTTCATATACAGCCAAAAGCCTGTATATCTGAAGACAAAGAACAAGCTCCCTCAAAAAGTTTGCCACATGCTTTGTACTATCTGACTTGCATTAAATGCAATGAGTATAAATAGCTAAAGAGACTTTCTTCTCCATACAGCGAAGAACAACACATACATGCAAAACTAAGCTTACTTTCAAGCAAAATTATAGCATCTTCTCAGCAAGAACTTTCTCTATTGCCTTCTCTGTATTTTGTGTGCTTCCTAGATTGTTTAGTTAAGTTTTGTATCTTATATTCTTCTGCAAACAATCTGTAAATTATATATTGATCTTCTCATATTAATAAATAATTTAAAAAAATGGAAACTGTGTGTTTGTATTCATCCCCTCCCTTTTATAAATTGTTACCTATAAACTCTTGTAGATCCGTGTAGGACCAACAAGTATAAACATTTTTTTCAATGTTTAGAGCAATCAACTTACGAATAAAAGTAAAACCGAGAAAGTTGGTTTTTATATGACTTTATTTGTTGTATTATTCTATATTAATTAAAAGATTTGTATGGTTTCAAGCACTCTGTATGAACAAAATTAATAAGGTTGCAAGCACTCTCTAATGCATGCCTGCAACCTTATTAATTTTGTTCATACATAAAAATGAATTTTTTGTTAGAATTTTTATTAATTTTCTAATTTTAGTTGACTATAAAATATTATATCTCGTTGTAACGTATGAGTATACAAGTAAAAGAAGAAGGGGTAGTGTCGTAATTTTTACAAATATGCGGCAAACAGGTACATATGTGAACCTGTAAGTACATATGTGAATCCGAGAGTGGGTTCTGATGAGAAGTAGAGTTAATATGAGAATCTTAAGAAGAAATTTCCACCCTTAGATGCATATTAGGATGAGATGCACCACATCAATTCCCGTAAGAAGCGCAATTCATGGATGAACAAGAGATTAAAAGTAATAAAGAGTTCAGATCACTTCTTACGCTTCTCTACTTAATTCTCCTTCTCACATGATTCTTTGTCTGTGAATCCATAGTTTATATGTGAATCAATTAATTAGTTCACATATGAATTAATTAATTAGTTCATATGTGAATCACACGAGTTCATATATGAATCACATGTGTTAATATGTGATTAAGTTAAATATTTCATATATGAACTACACGGGTTCATATGTGAACATATAATTCATTTGAATCACACAGGTTCACATATGCACTTGTTTTGCCACCTATTTGTAAAAGTTACGAAACTACCCTTTTATCTTCAACATACCATGCGAGAATTTATCTGGTGCTTCACAGGAAAACATTTCTCAAATGAACCTATGGCTACGTATGTAGAATTGGGATTATATAAGGCCAACATCTTTTCATGAGACCATATTTTTAGACTTGAAACTTCACAGGAAAACATTGTGAACGTAACATTCACAGTGATTTTGCTGTGAACCTTCAATTTTTTTACCTTTATAATGTTTTGCTGTGAAGTTCCAATTATAAAAATATGGTCTCACGTGAATCCAACCACATATATATATATATATATATATATATATTTGGATCAAGTCATGAAACTTATATATTTATTTGAAAAATTAATTAATTAATACAAAATAAATAAATATGGAAAAATATCGAGCTTTCAAGGAAACCCTTTCTACAAGTGTACCGCAAACGAATTCCAGTTTTAGTTTTATTAGTCGTCAGCACGAGACAGGAGACCCAAAAACCAGCCGCCTCACCAGGAGCTCCGATTGTGACAATGGCTGGAGGTGGTTCTGCTGCCAATTCCAACTCTCCCACCGCCGTTCGAATCGTTGTTGCCGGTGACCGTGGCACCGGAAAGTCCAGCCTAATTGTCACTGCTGCTGCCGAAGCTTTCCCGACCAATGTTCCCCCGACTCTGCCTCCGACCAGGTTGCCGGAGGATATGTTCCCCGACCGTGTTCCCGTCATGGTCATTGATACGTCTGCTAGGTACTCGACGCTGAACAATACTCCCTCCCTTCCATCCCATTCCATTCCAAGAAGAGATACATTTTAAACTCAACAATTTAAACTTTTTAGTACTTCATTACAGAGTCGATGTAGTTATATCTCATTTTGTATTGGCAGAAGTCAGGCCTTTTGTTTAAAAGAAAGCGCTTTGATTTATCCAAGTCAGATTATATGAGTTTCTAATTGGAATGACGTGAGTAATAAGGACACTCGGGAATATCTTGAAATAATTAGTTGAACATCTTGAAATGTGAATTATGGTGGTGACATCTGAATATTTTGGGTGATGATGCTCTTATTCTAGTATGGAGAATAGAGGCAAACTTGCTGATGAACTGAAGGGAGCTGATGCTGTTGTTCTTACTTATGCGTGCGATAAACCATCTACTCTTGATCGGTTGAGTACTTTTTGGCTTCCCGAACTTCGAAGATTAGAGGTATGAGAACTATTATTATAAGTGTGTTATACCGTGTCTGATTTTTGATGTTAATATGTATTGTTCACCTCTACTCGTGAGAGCATCTCCTGCTATGTGAAACAGTCTGCTTGGCTTTATTTGGATGGACTTTCATAACTCTTATCATTATACCCTGTTTTTCTTTTATATAATTCTGGAGTACATGTGTGGTTATAGTTTTGCATATAAATTTCTAAACTTTTCTGTCACACTTCTCAATGCCGATCTATCTCAGACTAGCTCCACCAAATGGAAGTTTATTTAGGTGAGATCCCATGTTGTAGAGGATGGTTTTTGTTGAGAGGAATTTGAATCTATGTCCTGTGAATTTAATAAGGGAGTTTTCCTTGCTAGTAAAGCAAATTTAACAAATAAGCAGTTCACCGATGTTTACTTGTGAAGGACATTTGGGTAGGACATGCTACTTGCTCATTTAGCACTATATCTAGCTACAACTAATGCTTTTTTTTCTTCAAATGAGATATTTATGTATAAAACACGGTAGCTGGTTGTGAATAACCTATTTGAAAGTGACCGCCAAATTAGCATTGGAACCTTTCTACACTTGTATGGCTATTATCTGGACCAGACCATGCCTCTAGGATGCTTCATGATCTGAATGATGGATGCCTATGAGTTTCTTAACAACGAGAGAACTTATCGAAACTACAATGGAAATGAAACATCTTTATCACTTATAATATAATCAAAGATGCATATACAAGCAAAGCCAATATTACTTGATGCATTGTATGGGTTGATTTGCTTAGACACCCTATGTGTGGTATGAGTTGGTACATGGTACATTAAGTACTTGAGCATGGTATGCCAAAAATATATTTATGGACGTGTGATGCATCGTAAATTTTGTGAAATTTTCAGATAGTCCTCATACAATATAAGTTAATTAAAGTGAAGTTATGAGATTTCCCATGTTTTTGCTTTTATATGAAGTTATTCTTTATTTCGTAAATTAAAATATTAATTTTCAGGTTTAAATAAACATACAAGTATTTTGACTTTTAGCTCTACTTTGTTTTTTTCCACGCCTATGATTCTCATGTCTGACAAACAAAACTATATAAAAGTACATTATTGAAAAGTTGATTTATTTCTTCAATTTGAACTATTTCCATTAGCAAAGGCTATCCCATCATTTGGAACACTGGACATAGTAAAGAATCCAACCATATCTTCATACGAAGAAATTACAGAGGTTAAGAAATAAAAACTAAAATATAGCCATTTGCAAACCTCTATGAGCTCCTTACCCACATGAACATTTGTCTATATTTGTTGATGTAGGAGATGAAATTAAAAACAATAAACGGAAATTGATAAATTCATAATGATATATCATCAATCATATATGGTGATCCATAGGTATATATGCGGATATCAACCCCATCATATTTGCATCAACTTGCTTGGTGTTTTTTTCTTAATCAAATATTGATCTTCTAGACATGTCTCGTATTGTCAACTAACTAGCAGATTTTGGAGAGAACCATTCGACTTTTGAGAAGCCATTCAGAAAGAGGAATGACTCCATTGTTTGAGTTTGACTATAAGCATACATAAGATGGGTTTCCATGGACGAGTTTGGGTTTTCTGCCGTAGTGGCTATCTTGGGATATTTAGGTATATAACCTTAAATGAGATTCTATTTAAATCCATGACCTTCTCATGAGTATAAAGCCATTTTTCTGTAATAGGCGAGGAGGTTGTGAATTTAATTAAAACCTCATTTAAGATCATACCCTAAATGACCCTGACTTTCTTCTTTAACATCTTGCTTTAACATCTCTCACAATTCTAGATATTAAACAATTCAAAATAAATACACTTTGCAAGTTACATATCATACAGATTCTGTAGAATTCTAGAAATTGTGATCTTGATTCATAATTGGACCAGAGAAACAATTTTCTATTGGTTAGATAAATAATCACAAAGTTACTTGATCTGCCTTTATGTTCATGACTATGCGGAATATTTTATGAATTATGATGAATTAATTTGTAACTACATACCCTTTAATTTGTTTATCCGATTATTAGGGTAAACCCGAATAGTCTCTATCTAGCTTGGTTAATCTTGTTAGACCTTTTGTGTGTTTAATTCAGTTATTAGTTGTTAATCGTAGTGTGGGATGCTTAACTAAGCTGCTCTAACTAAGTGGTGGGAAGACGCTTAATGCCTAGGAGGCAGCTTAAGTGGACTTAAGCAGGGAGTTTCTAGAACACCGTGCATGCATGTGTAATATATATGGACTCAAAGAAGTTGGGCCGTGGCACTAGATACTTGTTCTATTACAGAAGTTTAATATCTTGCTCCTTCCAAGCATGTTAAAGAACCACTTGGTTGAGCTTGACTGAGTGAACGCAATTGCAAACAACAATAGAAATAAGACGTTTGTGAGAAGTTATGGAAGGTAACAGAGACAGCCATTCCCCAAACTCATACAGGGACAATTATTCATTGTAGGTTTTGTATACCGATGACTTTAGTCTTCATCAAGTCTCTGCATTTGTTTTTGCAGCTTCTGTTTGGTTGATAATATTGTTTGTATGCATGTCTGCAGGTAAGGGTGCCTGTCATAGTGGTTGGTTGTAAGTTGGATTTAAGGGATGAACAGCAAGCAGTTAGTTTAGAGCAGGTGATGTCACCTATAATGCAACAATTTCGGGAGATTGAAACTTGCATTGAATGTTCAGCGTTCAAACATATTCAAGTAAGATACTTTTATATCTGTCATATAACTCAGTTTCCTATACTTTCCTAAAGTTATGTGATTTTGTTTTCAATCTGCATTTTTGTACTAGCATGAGGCTGCAGAAGAAATCCATTTAAATTTAGAGCCTTTCTGTTTGTCCCTGATGCCACAATTTGAAATTAATTTTGCTGCTCTTCAATTTGGATTTAAGGGATTTACACACATGGTTCGGGGGCTTGACTTCTAAGTGGCTCCATATTTCACTTATCTTTATTGATAAGCCCTTAGGTTTCTGACTTCCCGTATTATTCTTGGTAGCATAAGTGCACGTAAAAATCCCTAGTGCAATTTTATATGCTCTCATTACCAAAAAGCTAGATTAAAATTTACGTCAGACTTTGTAAATGGTGTTTTGAAGATCAATATTCATGCATCCTGTGGGTGACTTCTAATTGGCCACAATGAAAGTTATCTCCAGGTTAACCAGCACTATTAATGTTCACATTTGTTCTGTGCTCTATTTTCAGCTTCCAGAGGTATTTTACTATGCGCAGAAAGCTGTGCTTCATCCAACAGCTCCACTATTTGATCAGGAGGCACAAACCTTAAAACCCCGTTGTGTCAGGGCTTTAAAGCGGATCTTTATACTATGTGATCATGATAGAGATGGTGCTCTAAGTGATGCAGAGTTGAATGATTTCCAGGTACTTCTGTTTGTTATATCTAACACCATTAGCTTTTGGAGTAGAAGCGTGGTTGTGGTCTATTTATTTCCTCTTGGAAATGTAAATGTGGAACATTTTAAAACTATATAATTTTGAACAGGTAAAATGTTTTAATGCTCCCCTGCAACCCTCGGAAATAGTGGGTGTAAAGAGAGTTGTACAAGAAAAGCTGCCTGAAGGAGTCAATGAGAATGGTCTCACATTGACAGGCTTCCTTTTTCTACATGCTCTATTTATTGAAAAAGGCCGATTGGAGACAACATGGACTGTTCTAAGGAAATTTGGGTACAACAATGATATACGACTTTGTGATGATCAGCTTCTGCCTCCTATTACAAGAACTCCAGATCAGGTGATGTTTGTTAGTGTGCATATGTGGGGCCTTTCTGTTGTGAGAGCTTGCAGTATATGTGTTTGCTGAAATTAGATGGAACTTGTCATGTGGTTGAAACATTGATATAGTCGTATAGACGATGCTGATCAATATCAGTTCTCTATGTGATATTAATATAGTTGGAATAGACTTGGTGAAAATAGGCTGATGTTCATTTGTCTATCTGGTAGCATACTGTACTAGCTTCATGAGGTTTATTTTAACTTCCACAATAACAATAGGTGCATATGGTTCTTTTTGACGTTGTTAGTGGTTTTGGCATTAATTTTGTAGAGTGTGGAGCTGACAAGTGAAGCTGTGGAATTTCTCAGAGGAGTTTTTTCCCTGTTTGATATTGATGGTGTAAGTTCTTGCATCTTCTTCTGCAGGACCTAATTTATCATATATAGATGATTTCTTATTTCATTTCATGATAATTTTGTGGAATAATCACAATTTGAATTCAGTTTCTCTTTTCCGTATAATACGAATCATTAACCAACTTTTCTGCATGTGTATTATTCTTAGTTCAATTTCTGATTATTATGAGAACTGGTTTGTCTAGGAATTATCTCTTTATGAAGTACCTGTCAATTTGTTTATGTTACCAGCTTTTCTCCATGGCCTAATAAGAAGGGTTATAATCTTAATCAAAACTTCACTTCATCCTCACTTGTTTGATGTTGTATATCAAAATTTAAGTCTTAATTCCATCTTTTTTTAATATCATTTTGGAATACATTCTATGTCAGTTGTAAACTGAAGCCAATGTTGTTAATTGAGCTGTTATATGGCTTAATTTTGTAAGTTTGTTCATTTGTTGTGCCAGTAGGTTTCCACTTCCAAGGACAACCTTTATTTATAAAGGTTACTCTTTGCTAAATTTGTAAAACCAAGGGTAATATAATCAGGAAGATTGTTTGGCTATTAGATAATGGTGGCATGGCTTATATAAGCATTGTATATTGTCGTACTTTGTTCTTCATCATTGGTGTTTCAACGGACTGTATTATTATATTTTGGGTGTAAGGTTGATTTCCTTTGAAGAATTGCTTCTGTAAGGGTGGTACCCCTGATAACTCTGTCTTGATAATACAATTCTCGTTTATAGTCTTATAGAATAAACACAATCACATCTATGAACTCTTTTTTATGTAGCTTATTTGATGCTTTGCCCACTTGGTCAATTTACATTTCGTACTTTGCACATGATGTGTACAATATTTGATAAATCTTGTATATGTGTGTTTAAACGTTTTTCATTATATATCTTAAGATACTGATAATTTGATAATCTCTTAATCAGGATGGGGCTCTTAATGCACACGAGCTGGAGGATCTCTTTTCTACTGCACCAGAGAAGTAATTTAACTTGTTCGATGCTACATTATTCCATTGTTATTATTATTTTACTGATGCCTATTTCTCTACTCATATTTTTTGTTATCATTATTATTTTACACGTCAGAAGTAGGTTTTCAGATATTGGGATTGGACTACACAGGTCCCACGACCCATCTGTTACACGACACCCACCCACCCACCTACTAGGTTTCTTGGTACTAGAGCATTAGAGACAGGTGTTAGGAGAGAGCTACCTCTACTGGCAATAATGTTTGGCCTTTGACAGATTTGATGCTCTAGTAAAGCTTTGCAACATACTAAGTAGTTAACACGGTCGATAGCGGAAATAGTGGTCAGGACCTTGATTTGGAATAGCGGTTATAGTGGTGAGATAGCGGTAAAAACATATGCTCATAAATATATATATATATATATATATATATACATATCAAGTGATTCAAGTCAAACAATTAAAACCACCATCAGCACAGCAGTCGACTGTGTGTCGAGCAAAATCTATGGAATCGAATAGATTCTTAATCGAGCATGTCTATTGTCGATTGTCGAGAGTGTTTGGACTTTGGCCTTGGAAGTTGGAAACTTGGAATCAAACATATTCTTAATCGAGTAGGACTTTGAGCAGAGATTTGGACTTTAGACCTGGATGTTGGAAACTTGGAATCGATACAAAGTTTGAGTGTTTGACCTAATTTAATTGCTCCTTTAATCTGTTTCCTTGTTGAGTTGTTGTTTGCAGGCTTCACTCTAAATAGCCCACACAGAAGCCCAAATGACTAAAAAAATATTTAGTCCAACAAAAGGGTCCAAAACAGTCAAAAAAATAGCGTTAATTGCGGACAGCTATTTACTATCAAAATAGCTGTAATAGCGGCCACTATTTTAGACTGCAAACCCTTGACCACTATTTGTTGAGGGACCGCTATTCGATATAGCACCGCTATAGCGTGGCTATAGCATGCTATTAACTACCCAGACAACACCTCATCTGATGTAGAGAATCACAGTCCTTAGCTGCCACATTTGTTCTTAGGTGACTTGGAAGCTTCTAATCTTCATAGTGTCGAAAGCGTGCCAGTAACACCTGAACCCAGGCCATGCTGATGCTAGACCTGTTTACCACATCCATTTGGCACTTCTTCCAGTCCTCGACAACTCCTATGACTTTTCCAGAGGCCCAGTATGGTCTTGCTACACCTCAGGAACCTTGTACTGTTGTCTATGACTTTTGTCGGCGCCACACAATCATCTTAGAGCCTTGCAGTGGCATTATAGAGCTTTAACCTTATCTTTTGCTAGTGCTGAGTATACTAGTGAAATTAATTGTGGATTGTTGCTTGTTCTTGGACTTGACCCAACATCTCACAACATGAGCTAACGACAACCACATCTTCTATTACAAGTAAAACTTGTATTTATAGTAGGGACTGATTTGGATTGCATTTCGTGCTCAAAGATCGGAAGAAGCTGAAGATTGAGAAAGAAAGATCAAATGTATATGAATAGAATGAACCCTGACCTAGGTTTAAAACCAGCTCCTTAGAAGTTTCATATGCATGCATGCATGTTCATTATGGATCTTTGTTTGACCTAGCTGCTTTGGCAGGGTTTCATCGACATACTTGAGGTGGGAACTTTCTCAAATGGAGTACATACAATTACAATGGTCCCCCAAGTTATGCTAATAGGAGCACATAGAGCTTTTATCTTAGGTGTTCAATTTAGTCGAGGATAAGATCAACTTGGTCTAGACACTCTCGATTTGTCAGTAGTATATATCGGTTGGATATCTCTTTTCCCCACTTAAAGCCGCCTAAGCGTCCGCACTTAGGCATTAAGCTTTTCCCCATTCCTTTGATTAGTTTGGGACGCTTAAATGGCCGCCTGAGAGTTCCTATGTTACTTTGTTGGGAAGTAATTGTTGAATTAAGTGCCTCAAAAGTTTATGTGGGAATTAGTTGAGATTTCTCAACTTGAGATCATCAATCAATTTTTCTTGACCTAAGGAATCTTTTTTTTTTTGACTTGTTGCGTTAATGAAACAATGACATTATAAATTTATAATTAATGTGACATAGTATTAAAAATGTCTCCTATCTTTACATGATCTAAACAAAATTATGCTTTCGCTTAAGTGTCCATTAATCCCAAGTTAAGCGATTAAGTACTAGAAGGTCACTCGATTGCCTACTTTCGATTATCACTTTCTAGAACATTGGGAAGGTAACTTCAACATCCATCTTGCTTTATATAAATCATATCATATACATTAATGTTGCACCATGTAATGCATTCGCGTAAAAATTTGCTTTATCATCGTTAGCTAATCACATGATAGGTGTTCAATCGACTGCCTAGTTGTGTCTAGCACTTTCTAGAACATTGACCTCCCTTTATTCAAATAAGGGTGAATGGGTGACATCTAGGATGTAAACAATTGACTTCGTCATCGTTCGTTGGAGCATTGAAGCAATCACAAGAACTGGTCTCATTCTGTTTTATATTGCGGGTTATATTAGATGGGTACACACATTCTTCACCATGATTCCTTACTTGCAATGTGAATTTGGCATGTTGGTGAATTCGTTTGAGACAGTTGAAATTTGATCGCCGGGTCGTGCTAATTCCATACGAATCAATACTGAGAAGCATGTGGGTAGTGGCACTGGGTGGACGGTCTATCCACCCTTAAGTGGAGGTGCACACCCATTTTTGAACATATACAAAGGGCTAAAGAGAGAAGTCCATGGAGAACTACCAAATCCAATGACTTTGATTTGGTGAAAACTTCCATTAATGGATTACCTGGAGTTAAATTTAAGAGATGACAATGTCGACATCACAAGTCATCCTTATCATGCGAAAATGTTTTTGCACGACAAAGAAGTAAATAAACCCAGGTGATCATCAACAATAGGCACAAAATTTGACTAAAAACAAAAAATATTTTTGCACGATAAAGAAGTAAATAAACCCGGATGATTTGGGAAAATCATTAACAAACGTAACAACATACTTTAAACTATCAATAAATTTGACCTGACGTGCAATGTGGAACAGAGGATCAATTTCTAATTGTCATTTCTCCCAATGTTCGAAGGAAGAATGATTTAGTTGAGGCATTAAGTATCAAGACATGAATCATTTGAGAAGTTCAAAGTTCCGAGAAAACACAACAATCTGAAAATAATGTTACAAAGCAATTCATTTCTTTGGTAATTTTAGTTATACACAAAGAGACTATAAAGAAAAGTACGCATATAAAAAACACTGGGGAGATTGAGTTAAGGGTTTAGGTTTAGGGAATGATTGTTGCCTACATGAATAATACAACCATTTGCCAATTTGGTTTGGGGACGATTGGATAATAGTTTGGACATCATTGTCCAAAACCTGTAGTCCAAGAAATGGTGAATGTATCGAGGAAAGTTACATTACTCGACTATTATGTTAGTAATTCATTTGGTGTATTCTTTATTTCTTCTTCTAAGAAGCTTGGAGCTTCTAGACCCAATCAATCTTTTTCTTATAAACTGCACATTAGAAGTAGAAGCAGTATGTGCATGCTAATTGTTGGAGTCTCACATTGGCTAGACTTTATATGTTGGAACCTCCCCTTTCTCCTCAAGGGCTCTTTTGGAGAGTGATATGGAGTTCCACATATTCTCACATGGTATCAGACATAAGGTCTGCCACTCTAGGGACTTGACACTTTGGTTAACCCCCTCTTGACACCCTGGGACAATTTTTGTCCATCTAGCCTATGTTGGAGGGGGCATGTTGGAGTCGTAAATCGGCTAGACTTGGACCATTTCTCTTGTATATATGTTGGAACTTCTCCTTTCTCCTCACGGGCTCTTTTGGCGAGTGATATGGGGGTTCCACAAATTCTCACACTAATGATCAAGTTCGTAACAATAGTGGCACTCGGTCTTAGCATATCCGGTACCTCGAGTAGTGCCTCTACCAGATCAAGGCTTCTGCTAGTGCCTTTGCTAGTCATGTCACCTCCACCGGCAAGCCATTCTTTGGGCTTGGACCATGTGCTGTGCCTTTTCTAGATGCAGCCATTGCTCATTACTCCTGTATACTAGTAAAATGCCCGGGTTCAATAGATATCTCATAAGAAGGGTGAGATGGGATCAGGTAGACTGAACAAGTCGATATTCCTGTGTGGCCAGATGCATATCGTAATGATAAATCATAAGCAACAGACAAATTGTCAACGCATGTAAGAACATGAATCTTTTGTTGACACAGTCTTAGAACGTGGGGATCATAACATATGCAGAAGCACTCAAATTTGTTGACTAAGTTTTAACACCTGTAAGTGTTGCTTGTGGGGGCTAATAGTTTGTAATATGAAATGTGTTCATGTATCCTTGCTTAAAAGTTGCTTCCATCTACATTGAAGTCTTTATTGCAGATGTACAAAATTCATGGTTGATAAAGCATATACCATTACAATTGCCATATGATAATAAAGTAATTGGCCTTTACTTAACAACTCATTATTAAGTTTGTATGAGGAAGCAGGATTAAGAACGAAACATGTTTTTGTAATAGCTTACATCCAAGTTTGAGAATGCAGAAATTTACAAAACTAATTGTTTGGGGCTAAGCTGAAAATTTGGAGATTTTCCTTTTCCTGTGAAAAGGGTGATTAAACATTAAATTCATGGCATGGTTGTTGATTTCTAGTGTTCTAATTTTCCTGTTCCCCAAATGGTGCATCACTCTATTTCTTCTTGTCAAATAGACACATGAAAATTTCATACTTTATTTTACTTCCTAAATTAAAAATTACCTTCTATGGATGTTTATACAACCCCAGATCTGAATCGAGTGGTGGTAAAGGTGGGATTGTAGGGTGGTGTCAGAGAGAGTGAAGAGTGACATAGAGATAGGAGCGAGTGGCAGAGAGGCGAAGACAGAGAGAAGTGAGATAGGGTGGAGAAAGGAGCCAAAAAGAGAGCCTGTAGGTGATTGTCAAGGAGATGATGATTCTTGTGTTAACTGAAATCCTATAAGAAGACATGAATTTGTTGTGCTGCTATATAGATCCAATATAAATGACATTGATCAATTGCTAAGAGTATTGAAGGCGAGAGCTTATGATACTCACATTAAGAAATAAGAACACATGTTTTCAAGTGAAGACTGGTTTAGGAACTTCGGCCTTGGGTTTTCTAATTTCTGTAAACTATTGGCACAAAATTGAAATTGGAAAAAGTTGCCAAAGGCTGTCTCTTCCTTTGGTTATTGAAAATTTTAAAATGTGAATAAAGGTGAAAATCATAGTAGTTGCTACATAAGAGTTTAGTTCTGCAGTTCAGAATTTATGTTTCTCTTGTCAAGTTTGGCATTATTAATTCTAATATCCAAGTTTAAGAGGAAATCTTTGGAAGATAGGTTTTATATAAATGGAGATTTTCCTATGCTGTGCACCAATAATTGAGAGGATTTGTTTCTTTTCTATGACCTCATTGTTATCCTTTTCACTTTGTGCAAAGTACCTGGGTGTACAAGGAAACTGGGAACTGCTCTGTCCTTTTAAGCTTCTATCCCCCAGATTTACTTTCTGTTGAAAATCACACTCTAATCTTTTCTTAAATAGGCAAAGTATTTTGGCAAGGGTTATTTTCAGTAGCATATTTTGAATGGGGTAATAAAACTCTGATGTACAGGGGTTAGAACACAAAAAAGTTAGATTGGTTCTTCAACCTTAAACACCTAGGGGACCTTGCAGTCTTCCATGTCCCAAGCCAAATGGTTCTTTCCTTCACCTTTTGTTTGTGCTTTTTTTCGTTTTGGTAGAATACAATATCTGCCTGTATGCTTAAAATTTGAGTTTTGACGAATTTAAGTGCAACATTGTTCATATTTTTCATTTAGTTTGAAATTAAGAACTGAGATGATCAAAGTGATGAAATTCTATGATTTTACTGTTGCTGGTTCTCTGATTCAGTTGGTTCTAAAATACAAAGAAAGTCTTGAATAAACCTTCTGAGTTTCGACCCTTGTTGTCTTTCATCTGAAAAGAAATTCTAATTTCTGGTTCAGTTTCGTGGTATAAACTAACCACTGGTGTTTCAGTGACGGCAATTGGGTTTAACCCAGCCATAGGCTGGAAATACACACAAAGTTGAGCATAAAATGGATTTGCTTATTTCCCCCTTGAAAGATAAGAGTGCACCAATCCTTCTAGTTTCTGTTTTTCATTTGGTGCCCTTTTCGCTTCCTTTTTCCAGAAAAAGAAGTTGATTAGACTATTTCTTCTATACAAGTGTTGGGGCCATTCCAGATGTTGTACAACTCTAGTCCTATATCATTAAAAGAGGCATAATTTGTTTTATTTTTGTCGTTGGGGTTGTTATTGCTGGTGTGAACCAACACCAGTGCAATTCCTGTTCCTGTCTGATTCCAATTTTCTTATAGTTGAATATTACTTGTTTGGGTTTGGTTTACCGAGTTGCTTCATTATTGTGCTTAGGTTTGCTTTGGTCTATGACTGTATTCTATCTTTTTGTATATTTTCTATTTTTAGATAAGAGATATAAGCTTTCCAACACAGATTAAGTTAATAAGAATGGAAGGATAATATTCATTTTGGAATGCTATAGTCACCTCTTCTATTTTGATATAGAAGCTCTCAAATTTTTATCTCATTTGGTGATAAAAGGTGTCGTTCATTGTTTGGAACTGGTTTGTAACTATATATATAAACCCAGAAATGAATATACGAAACAAATTATGTAACTGGTTTGCAAATTTCTGGCTTGAGCTTTTTAAATTGCGTATTTCATAAGCATTAATGCTCTTCTTTACAATCAAATCATTAGTTTTATAATCAGATTCTACATTTCAGTCCTTGGAGTGAAGCACCATTTGCAAATGCAGCCGAGAAGAATGCCTTGGAAGGGCTCTCACTTGATGGGTTTTTGTCAGAGGTATAGGTCTGCTAACTTAGTGCTTCATGATTCATTCTTAAGTTGAAAATATTAGTTGATATCATATTAAAAGAGGTTAACTTGGAACCCTCGTTACTATGACCATTAGCTCATAGGAATTTTCTACTTTTAATCTTTGAATGATGACATGCCCTACCAGTAGATATTTAACAATTCACACATCTATATACTATATTATAAAGCATTTGGATTGAACTCTTAAAAACAATTTTTAATGCATCAAGTACTGTTTAATGATGCATATTACTTAAAATTCAAGATTACAAGTAATGGAGCATGAGTACAACTTTTTAAAGCTATATGTTTGAATTCATATAACTAACTGATAAATCAAATACAGGATAAACATCTATTTTTAAATATAAAGATTCTAATATATAATTAGGATAATCATTGAGTTCTAACATAATACTTAATTATGATCTTTATAAAAAAATTATATATTAAACCTATTAAATTATAATAAAAAAATTGAACTAAAAATTATATTTATAAAAAACATTATAATATTAAAACTAAAATAAATTACCTTGTTATTAAACCTACATTAGATTATAATAAAAAATTGAACTAAGAAAATTATACAAAAAAAACGAGAACTTTTAAATTGATAATTTGACACTAATATCGATATAAATTTTTAAGGGCCTTCAAATTAATATTTTATTCAAATATAAAAACATTATCCTTTTCTCAAAACCATACAAAACTATTATAAAATCGACAGGGACAAATAATAAAACGAAACATTAAAGTCAAAATGTATCTCGCTGCATTGCGCAAGTATGCTTCTAGTTTAGTGGAAGTTGTCTGTTATTTTAAATCTTTGCCAGTTGTTATGCCTACTTGATCTGATCATGTTTTTATCCAAGTATAATCATTGTGTAGGAATAACTATGGGAAACAATTCAATTATTTTTAATTACCATTATTCTTTGTGGAGGTGAAACTCATCCTGATGTTGGGAGGGAAAACAATAATGTGATTCATTATTTTGTAAAACGTGTCATAAGCTTGATAATGTAAGACGGTTTCTGTTCTGCACGGATGTGCAAGTTCTTACTTGCCTATGTTCATTTGAGAATCTATGCACAGCTAATTGTCATGTTTCTGGTGTCAGCATATTTGTGTATTTCACAAATCAAGTGTATACTGCAACTCAACATGAAGTTATGAGAGCTTTAGATCTCTTAATATCTGGTTGCCCCTCTTTGCTGTTAACTGAAAATTTTAACTTCTTTAATCATTTTTTATTATGGTTGAAGTTTAAAATTGAGATATATCATAAATGGTACATTGGGGAAGTTTATCAATGGTTTGATGTTAATGAAACAAGTGGGAAGGATATTATGAAGGTAAATATGCAGTTATGACCTATTTTCACAGTCTGCCTATAAGAGGGAATGGTAGATAATTCAAGATCTAGAAACGTATGTATATATTTGGAACTTGGAAGGATTAGGAGACCAAGCTGACAAATGGGTGTGTCAAATAGATAGGAGTAAATTAAAATCTAATACTTGACATGCTTCTCTTGCTCTGGGTTTGCTTCTGTATCTGTTGATAAGGTCAGAGGAGGAACTATGGAACAGGATAACTTTTTCTCTTGGCTTCTATTATACAGAATAAGGGAAGAGTGGCATTTCCTTCTCTACTTCTCCCTGTATTGCTAGTGAACTTCTACCTTCTATAATTCCTTCCCTCTATTTATTTGGTATTCAAATTGCTTCCTCCTACTTTGTTTACTGGAAGTGTTTGTTTCCGTCTATTTATTTGGTATATTGGTTAATAGCATTTAATTGGCTTACTTTTAAGTATTGACGACCCAAAAATGTTCTATGAATGCTTAATGTGAAGTAGCATTTTCCCTTCATTAAATGAGCTTGAATCTTGAGCCATACTTAACTGAACATTTAAAGATTTCCATTTGTATATGCACATACAAAAGGTTTTGTATGTAACAGCAGGTCAATAAGAGAGTTTTTAATTTTTGCTAAAACATTTGTGGGTGCAGTGGGCTCTTATGATTCTTCTAGACCCAGTCCATGGTGTCGAGAATCTCATATACATTGGCTATGCTGATGATCCCTCTTCTGCAATCCGTGTTACTCGGAGAAGACGTGTAGACCGCAAGAAGAAACACTCAGACAGAAATGTTTTCCAGTGCTTTGTTTTTGGACCAAAAGAGGCTGGAAAGACATCACTGTTGCATTCTTTTGTTGGAAGGTTGTTATCTGAATAATATAATTATTTGCATTGGCTGGCTGCTAATGCTTTTCGTCACAACCTTTTGTTATCATTCAAATTGCAGGCCATTTGCCGAAGGTTATACACCAACCACTGAGGAGCGGTATGCAGTTAATGTTGTTGATCAGCCTGATGTAAGTGCAATATATTAACACCATGCTATGCAGCTTGATAGCCTGTATGAACATGTGCTCTTTTTGCTTTTAGTTACAAGATCCGAGTATGTTGGTTGGTTGAATAAAACCTGATTTTTTACCTTACAATTTCAAAGGCGATTGCACGATAATGATGTACCAATGCACTTTGGGTTAAGAGCCTACACTAGCAACATATGCACCTACAAAAAATGGAACATTTAATAATTAGTTAAAGAAGGAGACTGGGAAGGTGCCATGTGTCTAACGATTTGTCTTTCCCATTGAAATTCCTTTTTAGTGCAGCCTTTGGTCGATCTCTATGTATTGAATCTGTCCTAGAGGATATTTAATCCTGTGTTTACTTCTTCACAATCTCTCCTACTGAGGATAATCATTGCGTCTTATAGATGCTTTTTGTGGTAGCTTCTTAAAGAATTCTACCGACCGTGCAGTGTAGCATACTCTCATCAGATTATTCTTTCCGAATCCCAGTTTGGCATATTTCATTCTTAATATCAGATAGTTACTTGATTGAAACATTACATGTTTACATTGTATAACAGACATGCTGCTTGAAATAGGGTTGAGCTTCATATAATAAGATTGGTGGATGATTATAATTGTCAAAGCAGCAGGCTACACTTGTCATTGATCCCACTCATGATCATTGTACATCACAGCATGTTGCATATTAGAATCTTTCTTCTGTCATCACAAATTCGTTTGAAAAGTAAAAGCCTATGTAGCACTTTAGATTTTTCATTGTTCGATGTGAGAAACTACTAGATGTCTGGGTATGTTACCTGATTTTTGTTTTTTCTTGTTCCAAATTGATCTAGTAAAAAGTATAGTATGTGATTTTAGGAGCTTACAAGGGTAAGTGTGTCTGATAAGTGTGTCTTATGTTTTTATCAAATACCCATCTTAGTTAATCAGTTGAGAACCATGAAAAATACTACCATCAACAATCACACATGCACAGTAATAGTAAGATTCAGGAAAAGAAATAAAAAATGGAGTATTTAAATGGTTTAGCAAATTCCTTCTTCCACGGGTGTTACTAAGATTTTCTTCTCTTATGAATTTACAGTTGTACAATAGGACAAGATAAATGACTCCTTTTATAACAAAAGCCTAGACCAAAAGGATAAGATAACTGACTCCTTTTCTGGGTGTGGGAAGATTTGCAAAGTTGTCGTCTGGAGAATAGTCCAAATCAGGCCCCATGCTCAGGGAATGTCTATTACATGGAAACCAAAAGTGAAGGACAAGTTTTTAGTTGGTTTGGCAGAAAAAGCAGGGAAACTTTTTTTTTTTTTTTTTGGGGAGGGGGGGCCTCCATTAGCTAAATTTTCACTCTTATCTGTTAAGAGTATGAAATCTAATTAGAGGTGCTTTAACAGATTTTAAAAGGGTTAAGATGGATACATTTGTTATTTATTCATGTCAACAAAGACTCCATATTTAAGGACATCGCTAATACTTGCATACTATTTTTTCTTTTTCCTTGTAAGAGATATAGTCAGAATCAAAAAACCTGTACAAAACATACCTAAGAGCTACAGACTGTATTACTTCACAATTCTCTCACCAACTTACATTTCCTTACATAAAGTTAGATTCATAATTCCTTCCAAACTTTGCTATATCACATAAGAAACTCTAACCATATATATAATAGTATGGACTAAAATATCATGCTTGGTATTGCATACTGAATAATACATGGGTTAATAGCACAGGATCCTTCTTGATCGTTAATTGTATGACATGTCACCTTTAATCAACTGGCATTTTCCTTGTTAAATCAAATCAAACCAAACTAAACGAACCTGGTGCGGAGGTGGGGTTTGGGAAGGGTAAGATGTACACATAATGATCTCTACCCCAAAGAGTAAAGCAGTTGTTTTGTTTCCATGAATACCCCCGGCTTGTGATTATACTTATTTACCTTGTTCCTCTCAGGGAAGGAAGAAAACCTTGATATTGCGAGAGATACCTGAAGAGGCGATTGAGAAGTTGCTGGTTGAGAAGGATGCTTTGGCAGCCTGTGACATAGCAGTCTTTGTTCATGACAGGTGACCAGAACATTGTAATCTTTAGATCTAGTTTCATGAACTGTGTTATGTTAGAAACTTTTACAATTTATTCATTGACTCGATTAAATTAGTTTACAACATAGTTAATAAAACTGTTTAGAATCTTTTCCTTCTTAATATGGGAAGCAAAAGTCCAGCACTGTCTATGACCTCAAAGAAAATTATATATGTTCTAATGATATCCGTGCCCTCATCATTGCATCCTGCTGTGTCATGTACTCAGGGTCTGTTCTTTCTGAAATTGATAGCTTAAATTTTCTATCTTTACTATAAATCATATGGTAGAAACTATTAAAAACAACTTATTAAGCATTAGGTACTGCATATTATTTTGAAACTCAAGTTTACAACTTATTATTGCATAGGCACAACTACTTAAAGCTTCACATTTGAACTTCATAAAACCAACTGATAAACACGTTCAAATACAAGATAACCATTGAGTTCTATCAATACGGCTAAATACTCCAAAAATTTTGGATTTTTTTAGATGAGGAATTTTATTAATTTTCCATTCTTGGTTTTGTAATTGAGCTCCTAGTTCCCTATTTATAACTTGAATTTTCTTTTGTTATTCAGTTCTAAGGAGTCTTCATGGATAAGAGCAACAGAATTGCTTGTAGAAATTGCGAGTCATGGGGAATCTACTGGCTATGAGGTTCCTTGCCTGATTGTTGCAGCTAAAGACGACCTTGATCCTTATCCGACTGCAATACAAGATTCCACGAGGGTACACATCTTTATTAGTGGTTATAGCTGTACTTCTTATATGAATTGATGAGAGCCCATCTATCTTACATCCAATGCCTGTGATAGCGGTGAAAATACAAAATTGCGGTCGGGACCGATATTTGAAATAGCGGTCCAAAAATAGCGGTTCATATAATATTTCTTAGAGTTGTATATAATTATATATATAATATGCCTACATGAACATATCATTTGCAAAATAGGAAAAATGTCCATAAACGAGCTAATCGCAAGCAATATTATATGAACCGCTATTTTAAATATCGGTCCCGACCGCAATTTTGTATTTTGCAAAATAGGATAAGTGTTCATAAAAGAAAGACAGGAAATAAAGCCCAACTGTCCAAAAACAGAAACTGAAAATAAATCCCAAACCCCCCCAAAAAGTAACATTAATATCGAACACAATTGACCCTAAACATCGGTCAAAATTGCGGTAAATTGCGCTACTGCAATTTAAACCGCAATCTGACCACCTTTGTTTTGCTAATGTCCGCTATCCGAGATATTGCTGCGCAATTAACAGCATAGCTTACGACACAAATAACTATTGAAGCAAGCTTAAAAGAAGCGTCAAACGTTCCAAGTTTCTTTTCTCAGCGATTATAGTCAATAAATGATGGCTTACTTTTCATATGTTATGTGTTTGGAAATTTGCTCTCTGTCACTTTAACCAAGACAATTTTCTTATTTATGGAAGGTGAAAAATAATTTCAATAAACGATCAGTGGCCAAACAGATTAATCCTGAAATATGTGTTATTTAAATGCATGATCTTCTGACAGATTTTGAGGCATTTTTTCATCGGTGTTCTTAAGTTTGTTAGAAGGTCATGCATTTTTTTTTATGTCAGATGGTTATTCTCGTAAATAATTCTTACAGGACTTTCAATACTCATTATTTGTTTGGAACGACTGATGTTATTGAATGTCGTTTACTTTGTTAAATGATATATAGTGTTTGTTTGTTTGTATAGGTAAGTCAGGATATGGGAATAGAGGCTCCTATACCTATAAGCGCAAAATTGGGAGACTTCAATAATATATTTCGAAGAATTACAAGAGCTGCAGCTCATCCTCATCTAAGCATTCCTGAAACTGAAGCTGGCAAAACTAGAAAACAATATCACAGGATTCTTAATCGCTCGCTAATGGTTGTTTCAGGTATGTTCATCTTCCAAAATGAAACTCTCTCATAATTCATAAAATTACGTCTCTTTCTCATGGTCTGGTTTGTTAATCACACACACACACACACGCACGCACGTGTGTGTGTATATATATATATATATATATATATATATATATAGGGTTGGATTCACGTGAGACCAAGGGTTTTTCGTGAGACCCATAAGACCAATTTATATTCATTGATCAACTTTATAAGCTAACGATCTAATGGTCTAAAGTTGCACGGTGGCAATTTTGTGATTATTGAGAAGTCTCGTGGCTATTTTGTGATTATGAATGTTCAAATTGTAGATCTAATCCAAGGGTTATAATTGGTTTTACGGGTCTCGCGAAAGACCCTTGGTCTCACATAATCCCAAGTCTATATATATATATATATATATATATATATAGGGTTGAGTTCCGGTAGGAAATCTAGTTTTCGTGAAAAGCGTAGAATAACACTTTGTTAGCGAAGTTCACATAAGTTAACATGTGAACTTATATTAACATTTCCATGTTAGCATATGTTAACATCCATGTTAAGAATTAGGATGCCAACTTATGTGGGCATCCGCTACAAAATGCTTCCTGTGCTTCTCATAATTTTGATTTTCTATACAATCTCAATTCTCTCCCTCTCTGTCTGTCTATATATATACATATATATAGGGTATATTTCAAATGCAACTATGTCCATTTGTACAACCAATGCAACCCAATTAATTGAGATATTTAATATATTGATAAAAAAATATGTATTTTTATTTCGTTCCAACTTCTAAGGCCTTATTTGACAACTTTAAGCTAGCTTATTTTCTGAGCATATTAAAAAAACCTTGATTAATAAAACCACAAGCTAGCTTTTTGAAAAACTACCTCAGATCGCTTATTGGGGCTTTTTCACCTTTTTTAATTCATGTCTTTATATTTTACATAAATGCTAGTTATATTTTTTCTTTTAGGTTATTTTGCATTATCATCTAGTTTCTTTTGTCAAATGCGACTAGTTTAACAGTTAGCTTATCAACTAATAGTTAGTTTGCCAAACATGGCATAAGAATAAAGTTTCCCAACTTGTACCTTTGAACATGGCAGTGGGAGCTGCAGTTGCTGTTGTTGGGCTGGCTGCATACCGCGTCTACGCTACAAGAAAGAATGCTTCGAGTTAAACCCCGACCGTCTACAAGTTATAGCAGTGTTCAAACAAATTCAAATATCAATATCATAAATTTTGATCCAATTTGCTCTTCTTAATATAATTGACTGTATATTATGAAGAATTATGTTCAATTGCTATATTCCAAGATTGCCCTTATCATGCTGTAACTATTTGTACATCCTTCTTTTCTTTTCTTTTTTCTAATTTAAGCTCAGTTGTTGGTTTTTCTTGCCAATGACTTCTTTTCTTTTTGCTGGGTTGTATGCATAGGTGGGCAGGCAATTTGGTCATTCCACAACTGGTCCTACCCTTGATTTTGAGTTTTGATTTGTATGAATAAGCCATTTATTCCAACATTCAAGGGTGTTTGGGATTGCTTATTTGAAACAACTTATGCTTTTCTACAAAAGTGCTTATCAACTTATTATAAGTTAGAATGGTTTAATTTTTTTAAAAACTCTTTATTACCGGTTTGGTACCGGTATAAGTTGTTTATCCAAACACTCAAAAATGCTTGTTACTAGGGCTACATCAGAATAAATTAATAAGTTGTTTTTATAAGCAATTCCAAACACCCCCTTATTTATATTTGAGCAAAAGGATGAAACAATGAAGGAGAAAAAGGTTCGGTCTAAACTTCGAAAAATTATTAATAATGATTTTTTGAAATTCAGACCGAATTCTCTTTTATTCATCATTTTATCTTCAAGGTAAGAACTAATGATTCGAAGCATTGGTTAAACCTTGAACAAACCAAAATTTAAAATACTGATTGGTTTTATAAAAAAAGGTAAAACGTATGAAAAATGTAACGAGATCTTGCTTAATTTTAATTTTTATGCAAGAAATATTCGATTCCGATCTATCGTGTACCCAATTTACTTGATAAACAGGTCTTCATCTTGTGTGTCATCAGCTGATTTTGATCGGACAGTTTTTTATGTGATCAAGAATTACGATTTAACTTAAAAATCTAAAATCCACATCATCTACAGTTGTAAGATCCATCAGTTATCGATCAAAATGAATATGAAATATAAAGAATTGAACATTTATACACCAAATAAAAACTTAAAACCACTTTCATGACAGAAAAAAGTGTTTTTGTTTTTCACCAAATTCTTAAAACATATTTTCTGTTTCTATTTATTTATGTTTCTTGTTTTTAAAACATAGAATTTGACGAGAATGTACAAAATAAACGAATATTTTAAAAATTAAATACTGAAAACATCGAAACGACAACAAATCGACAAAAAGAATTCGGAAACAAATGTTGTGTTAACTGTTAAAGCCAAAGCCGTCTCAATCTTGTTTTTAGTGGTTGTTTGTTTACCTCTTAATAGTTCCATTAAGAGGCAACATCTGAATCGTTAAGATGTAAATCTTGTTTGACAAAAAAAGAGTATGCCTCTTAATGGCTTTAAAACCCTTTGAATGATTTTGTATCATGAATCTCTCTTAACCATTCAGCACCCTAATTCATTTGTAAACAATTATCAAACAATTATATTTCATTTTTGTACTATATCATGATAGTCTCTTAATCATTCTAACCACTTAATTATTCTGTACTAAACCATTCAGCAACTGTGAAACAGCCCGAAACTGTTTTTCTAAAGGATTATAAAAACATGTTTCTTCTTTTTAGACTAGAAGAGTATTCGCGTAATGCAGCGAGATACATCTTGATTATAATATTTCGTTTTATTATTTATCTCAGTCGATGTTATAATATGGTCTTATGTGATTTTGAAAACACGATAATGATTTTAGTTTTAAATAAAATATGAATTTAAAGATATTATAAAAAAATTGACAAAAATATATCGATATTAGTATCAAATTAACTATTTAAAATTTCTCATTTTTTGTTCAAATTTTTTATTATAATTTAATTTAGATTCGGTAACGAGGTAACCTATATTTGGTTTAATAATATGATTTTTTTATAAATATAATAATTAATTATTTTGTTAGAACTCAAAATTATACTAATTATATTTTAGATTTTTTATATTTTAAAATAAGATGTTTATTATTTATTTGATTATGTTTATCCATAATTAGTTACACGAATTCAAACATAAAGCTTTAATAAGTTGTACTTACGCATAATTTACTTGTAATCTTGAATTTTAAGTAATATGCAACAATAAACTGTACTTAATGCATAAAGAATGACTTTTAAGAGTTTTTGTCAAATATTTTTAATATAGTATAGATTTTCGGATTTTCAAATCTGAAAGGTTGTAGAAACTTCGATTAATACCATTCAAACAAATCAATCTTGAAAATATTTTAAAGGTAATGATTAGAAGTTGCGTACCAAAATGAAATGTGATTAGCTACCAGGCTTTTTTTTTCATTTGATTAAATAAAAAAAATATTGTTAATCGAAATTAATAACACCATTAATGATATTTATGGTGCGTTAGTGTTTGGTACGCAGATTGGATGAGATGGGACATGACGGGACGGTACGGGACAGAACATGACGGAACATGACTAATTGTTTGTCCTATGTTTGGTACGGTTAGGATAAGATAAGACAAAACTATTAAAATGACCATATTACCCCTAAATGTTGTTCAATGTTATTTTATATCATATAATGATTGTAAAATGACAACAAATCAATCAAAATATTGTCATTTTAACTTTAGTCCACCATGTTGTTCCACCTTTTTTGGTGGAACAAGAAATATCAAGATTTATCTCATTAAAATTAAAAATAGTCCCACCTTATCCCATGTTTTTTTTGTCCATGGCACGCCAAACATAGACTATTTTTTTTGTCCCGTTCTGTCCCATGTAGTCTGCATACTAAACAGAATATCATAGAATAGAACATAATTGTTCAACATTTGATAAGAGATGACTGAATATAACAGAATAAGTAATTTGACCAATTTATCTTTAATGAGTTGTTTATATATGGATCCTTGTTTTATTTTGTTTTGTACTGTCCTATCCAATATACCAAACTGAAAATATAGTTAATTTTGACTTCAAAGTTTTCCAGCCATTTTTTAACGAAAGAGGAGGTAGACTTTAAGTTTCAACTCACCAATAGTCCATGTAACAATTGAATGTAGTTATTATTATAAAGGGTAACGTATATATAACTCAATGATAAAATTAATGTCTAATCAACCAAAATCCATCTTATCCAAAACACATGATGTAATCTTTATATTTCAATACATACATACACATACATATATATATATATATATATATATATATATATGCATGTTTACATACATGCATACACACACACACATATATATATATATATATATATATATATATATATATAGAGGTTGGTTATTATACAACCCTTAACATTTGTGCAACCAGTACAACTCAATCTCAACCGTCCATTGCATTTGATTAATATGTGATTTCATAGAAGTTTTGATTGTTTCCTAATATAAAGTATTGATCATAATTAATGAACCATATTCATCTTCCATAAATATTCAAATCATAATAAATGAACTCTCATCATTTCTATAAATATCTCAATTTATTGGGTTGTATTGGTTGTACAAATACGATAGGTTGTATTTGAAACAAACCCTATATATATATATATGCAGGGTTGGGTTTACGTGAGACACGATTTTTACATTTAACACTTCACAACAGAATGTTGTGAATGTAATAAAAACTCGAATATTTACAGCAAAAACACTATGAAGGTTACCTTCACAGTGATTTGCTGTGAAATTTCAAGTGTAAAAATCGTGTCTCACGAAAACAGTCTTGTCTCACATGATCGCAAGTCTATATACGTATATAGATGCATATGAAACAGTGATCGTGTTTCAAAATAAATCGTTTTACTTTGCGTTGTACGTACACGTAGAACAAATTGTTTATTTAGTGTCAAATTGACCAAGTCAAAATTGAGTTTGGAGTATAAACATTAACATTCATAAGTGATCCTAATTTGACCTTCCAAGAACACATCTTAGTCAAGGATGGTAACAAGCCAACAACATGCTTTTTAAAAGCTAAACTATTGTTTATTGTTGAATTATTTGATCCTACTTTTGAATCAACACATTCCATTTTATTAATATTTAATTTCTTCATTTACAGATAAAGAGGAGGAACGATTACAGGGTCTGGGTTCGATTCTTCCGTCTATCCGGACTGGTCATAGCTACTAAGTGAGCTAAAAGATGTCTTTATCATATTGGTTACTTAGAGACGGGTTCCGTAGGGACCAACCTGTACTGAATATGATAATTTGTTTATAATGGCATGTATATAGGGTTGGGTTCATGTGAGACCAACATGTTTTTGTAAAATCTGTGAGACTACATTTTTATAATTGAACTTCACAGCATAACATTATGAAGGTAGAAAAAATTCAAATGTTCACAACAAAAATAATGTGAAAGTTACTTTCACAATGTTTTATTGTGAAGTTTCAAGTGACAAATGATGATGTCACAGGTCTCATGAAATCAAACTAGTCTCATATGATTATATATATATATATATATATATATGTGTGTGTGTGTGTGTGTGTGTGTGTGTGTGTGTGTGTGTGTGGTGGGGGGGGGGTTTCAAACGAGAACCCCTCTATTTTGTGAAAACGCAAGAACAGTTGTAGGTCTCCAACTTTATTAACCAATAGTTTGAATTATATTAATTAAAAATAGATCAATAAGAGTGATAATGTAATTGTGTATTATTTTTTTTTTTATAATTTTTATGTTATTTTAATTGATTATAATTATCCCATTGTAAAACCCACAATTTTTAAATATATAAATAATATTATATGAGTTTTTAAATATTTTTTTTATTAATTCATTTGAAGTGTTAAAAATATTTATGTAATTAATTAAATGAAATAATTGTAGAAATCTTAAATAAAAAAATAATAATAAAAAGAAAGGCAAAAGGGAAAATAAAATAAAATTGTTTTTTATTGGACCAAAAATGTAATATGTCACGTCAGGAGTGGTCTGGTTGTAAATGTCAGAAAGTTTAGGGCGCCAAACATAATCTTTTTCAAATATTAGGGGTCTGTTTTGCCAAAAGTACATACATGTTTGTAGAAAACGACCTCATAGCCTAAAAGTCGCGATTTAGTTGATTTCTTCAATTAATAAGCGAAAACTCTTTGCATATAAATTGTAGAGCA